AAATGTGGCTACAGAGGATAAGCACATTTTCTAAGTCTGCTGGTACAATTGCAGAGTGAAGATTATGCTATATGTCATTCAGGTGTTAATTACTGTTCGATTCATTTATAAATAGTTTGCTATATATCTTGTCATTTAGCATGCTACAAAATGCAGTTGTGGATAATTATCTTGTTTTGTATCATTGCTTGAAGTACATCCCCAGTAACTACTGCAAGTTCCTGGCAGACAGAGAACTTTCCTTTGACATCCAAGCACAGATGAGCAAACGTTGACATTCTCCAGGTGTTTTATTGTCAACTGAGGGGAATTTTGCTAAGCATTAGTCTGATGCAGCAGGCCAAAATTGTCCTCAAAAGGCCAGTGTTTAATTGGTGATATGTAAAAGTTCTCTTAACAGTCTGTAAATAAAATTAAATTCCAGAAAAAGCTTAATGTCTAAAACCATGTATTTATTTTGTTAGTCTTCAGGAGTCATTTGTTGTATGGCTTAGATATATGATGGAATTAGCTTTTTAAGAAAGTGATTAGGGACCAGCACTATGGCATAGCAGGTAGGGCTGCCACCTGTGGCACCAGCATCCCATAGAGGCACCGGTTTGAGTTGGCTGCTCCACTTCCAATACAGCTCCCTGCTAATGCCCCTGGGAAGGCAGCAGAAAATGGCCCAAGTACTTGGGCCCCTGTACTCATGTGGGAGAACCAGAGGAAGCTCCTGGCTCCTGGCTTTGGACTGGCTCAGTTCTGGCCGTTGTGGCCATTTGCGGAGTGGACCAGAGGATGGGAGATTTCTCTGCCTCTCTTTCTGTAACTCTGCCTTTCAAATAAATAAATAAATCTAAAAAAAAAAAAAAAAAGAAAGTGATTAGAAGGAGTAAACTCTTCTCTTTATGTGGAGCTTGAACTTCTGCAGCCTTACCTGTTCAGGAAACACATGATCCTGGAGAGGCCTAAAGAAGATCATAGTACACCTGCCAGGGAGGGGAACCACAGTGTAACAAAATTTTTGGCAACAAAGTCCAGAAGTGAAAGGGAAGACATGTCCATTAGAACCATATAGCCATGGCTGGCGCCGCGGCTCACTAGGCTAATTCTCCACCTGTGGCGCCGGCACTCGTATTCTGTCCCAGTTGCCCCTCTTCCAGGCCAGCTCTCTGCTGTGGCCCGGGAGGGCAGTGGAGGATGGCCCAGGTCCTTGGGCCCTGCACCTGCATGGGAGACCAGGAGGAAGCACCTGGCTCCTGGCTTCGGATAGGCGCAACGCTGGCCATAGTGGCCACTTTGGGGGTGAACCAATGGAAGGAAGACCTTTCTCTCTCTCACTCTCACTCTCTCACTGTCTAACTCTGCCTGTCAAAAAAAAAAAAAAAAAAGAACCATATAACCTCCTGCAGAGGTGAACGGTCCTATGTGGCTGTGGGAACATCCCTCACTTTAAAGCAGGAGCATGGCAAAGACTTACTGATCTGTACTCTAAAGCCTTCTAGAGAGAAGTAACTAGAAAAGTAGGTGAAGTTCTATTCTTTTCTGTCATTATTCAAGTATTTATTGAGCTTCTGTTTTGCATAGATGCCCCTGGAGTGTACAATACTCTGTGCATTGATAATATTCAAAAATTAATGTATAAACAAGTAACTGAATGATGCCATCTTCACACTCGTTTATTCACTGACTATTGGGCACTTATTGTGTACGCTATTGTAGATGCTAAGAATGTAGCGGTGAAAAACGCTGAAATCACCCCTGCTCACGGAGCATATTTATTAGTGAGAGAGACATTTCAGCAAATAAGCACAAATGCATAATTACAAATGTTCATGAAGGAAAATGACATCTGCTGCGGGATAGCCATGGGAGTGGGAGAGTTTAGACTGTGTGCTCTGGGAGGGATTTTAAGTCCGAGGACTGAGATGAGTAGGAGTTAACCAGTTCAGAATTGGAACGTGGTGGAGGCAGGATTGGCAGCACTGTAAGTGGAGAAGACAGCCTTTTGAAGTGTCTCAGGTTGGGAGTTGGTTGGCATCCCAGAGGAGCTGAAACAAGGTTAGTGTGGCAGGAATGCAGGAGGGAGTGGAGTTGTACAAGATCAAGTGGAAAAGTTGGCAGGGCTTCCAGAACATGCCTGTGATATGTGTTCTAGAATCCTCAAGTTTCATTATTAATTCAGGCAGAGAGAGGTAGAAAGTGAGAGATTGATTTGTGGCTGGGGAAATTGAAGAACAGTTGGTGGATTAGGACATAATTGGCTTATACAGTGTGGAAGCTGTTGTTGTATATCAGCAAGAATACAGGCTTGGGAGTTAGAGCTAAGTTCATCCCAGCTCTGTTTCTTAGTGGTATGTGGCCTTGAGTAAGTTACTAAGCCTCTCTGAGCCTCTGTTCTTTCATTTGCAGAAGACAGGGTAGTAGCACCCCTTTATTGAGTGAAATGAAATAAAATATCTAAAGTACTTAAATTAGGTCTGACTCATACTGAGTGGGCAGTAAATAGTACGTGCTATTGTTCCTGTTCCTGCAGTTGTTCTTCCTCCTTAAGGCAAAAGGACAACTGCCAGATTGTCTATAAAATGTAAGCTAAGTGAACCTGCTGACACAACTAAGCTATGCGTAACCAGCGAGCTCGCGGTGACTTTAGACTATTGGAAAGGTGGTCCTCTGTGAAACTGTGGGCATCTCTCAGTCTGTCCCAGGGGTAGTTGAAAAAGCAGGATTTTTTTTAAAAGATTTATTTATTTGAAAGAGAGAGAGAGAGAGAGAGAGAGAGTGAGAGATTGTCCATCTGCTGGTTTACTCTTCAAATGGCCACAATGGTTGGGGTTGGGCCTGGCTGAAGCCAGGAGCCTGAACTCCATTTGGGTCTCCCACATGGGTGGCAGGAACCCAAGCACTTGGACCATCTTCTGCTGCTTTCCCAGGTGCATTAGCAGGGAGCTGGACTGGAAGTGTAGCAGCTGGGACTCCACCCCTCATATGGGTTGCCAGCATTGCCAAGTGGCACTTAAACCACTGTACCACAATGCCAGCCCTCCAAAAGCAAGATTTTTAAAATTACAAACATAAATCCACTAAACTGTATGTACTTTTTAGAAAACTGGCTTTGTATTTAATAGAAAACATTATAAGGCTAAATTCACTGTGAGAAGCCATAATATTGTAGACCACTGTAGAACCTTTACAGAGAGTATATCATGCAATTATAATAAATTAAAGACTCTGAAAAATGCTAACATACAATCTTTTAAAAACATAAGGTTTCCTTTATTTTGCATACAATCCTCTTGTTAAATTTAGCACAAGCAAGATAAACCATCTGGGATAAACTATCATGTAGGTGGGTGCCTGAGGTTCACTGTTGTTAATATGGAAAATGCTGTAACTCATTAAACTGATTTTAAGAACTACTGATAGATGATAACCTGTACTTTGAAAGACATTGCACCAAATAACTGTGTATTTGGTAGAACTTTGGACAGAAATTCCAGAAGCCTAAAATCAGCAGTTTTACCACTAATATATTTCACACCATTAATAACAGGTGATTAAGGGAAGGCATTTGTCCTAGCGCTAAGATGCCACTTGGGACACCCGCATTCCTTATCAGAGTACCTGGATTCAAAGCCCAGTCCATTCCTACTTCCACCCTTGGGGCAACTCAAGTGGTTGCTTCCCTGCCACCCACATGGGAGATCTGGATGGAGTTCCTGGCTTCCAGCTTCATTCTGGCCCAGCCCCATCTGTTGCAGGTGTTTAGGGAGCAAACCAGTGGATGGGAGCTGTCTTGTCTCTCAAAAAAAGAAAAAGATTAATACTCGTAGATGCCATCCCCGTATCATTTGGCAGCCCTGGAGTGGTCTTTTTAAAAGGATTCACACACACAAAGGCATCTACTTAGAAGCTTATATACTTATTTGTTTGCATGTGCATAGACTCTCACTGGAAGGATACATAAGAAATTAGTATTATGATTTGTCTGAGGGAAGGAGAGAGAACTGAGTGTCTCTGGGCAGGGGTGGGGATGGTACACTTTAAGGACAGGGTACCCTTCATTTTTGGTTTATTTTAAATTTGAATCATGAACATATTTATTCCAACAATTAAATTAAAAGTACTCAATTCTGCTTCTACAATATTAGAGAAAGAGGAGTGTGGGGTCTAGTGTAGATCAGGATTTAGAGTTAATATTACTGTGATGGATTAGCAGGGCCTGGCACAGGAGTGGGTAGTTACAGTCTGTACGCATGGTTTAGTTCCTGTGATCTGAGTCAACTAGGTGGATACCACTGTAAAAGGAAGTTGAGGTGATTTTATTACACGGGGTTAATTTGTGTTCCATGCTTTGCTTATTTATTATAGAGGGAAGGCTGTTCTAGAAAGGTATTTAGTTTTTTCCCACTAAAACATGATTAATTTTTTCTTTTTTAATGTTTAGGACTGTTTTTAAAATTAATTAATTAATTCGAAAGGTAGAGAAAGAGAGAACTTCCCTCCACTGATTTACTCCCAAATGCCTGCAACATCCAGTGCTGGGGCAGACCAAATCCAGGAGCCATAACTCCATCACAGTCACCCACAAGGTGGCAGGGACCCAAGTACTTGGGACATCATCCACTGCTTTCCCAGGCATGTTAGCAGGAAGCCGGATTGGTAGCAGCAGTAGCTGGGACTTGAACTGGCACTCTGACATGGGATGCCAGCATCCTCAGCGGCAGCTTAACTGCACCCTGACACCCACCCTATATTTGTATAACCTTTCTCCTGCTTTCTAACCCAAGTGACAAGTGTCTAAAGCGTTAGGAGTATATTCCATCTTTTTTTCCTGCTGTTTGAAAACTACAACTTATAATAGTATTATATTTTGTTTCCTTTAATTTTTTTCTGGGATATATAATAAATGTTAAAATCTTGATTGCCAGTTGATGGTATATGGAACCAGTCTTGTGAAACAATGAATTACCTTGATTTAATTTGAAATTTTAAAACCGATGTTTTTTACACTGTAGTTTTATTAGTTCTCTGGGAGTGAGCTACATGATGTTGTGCACTGAAAATTACCCAAATGTTCTCGCCTTCTCTTTCCTGGATGAGCTTCAGAAGGAGTTCATTACTACCTATAATATGATGAAGACAAATACTGCTGTCAGACCGTACTGTTTCATTGAATTTGGTAAGGGCCTGATTTTTTTTTTCCTTTCCATTGTCCTGTCTCCATCCAGTCATAAGCACATCTTCATCTAATACTAGGAGGCAAGGGGGAAACTTCTATTACCTTGCTTTTGATATAATATTTGGCAAATGACCTTTAAATTTTGGCAACTTCTTACTTTACTTAGATGTCTATTAGAAAAAAAAAATCTGTGAAGGGGATTGTGATTGTTGGCCCGAAGAATTAGTCCCAGAGGGCACAGTTTCTGAGTGAGAAATTTATGAACCAGAAATTCAGAGTTTTGTGTGTATATGGTAATCTTTTATAGTCTGCTTTATGTAGAACAGGGGTCAGCAAGCACTTGCTGTTGTTGAAAACAGCCATCAGCTCTACATAAATGAATGAGTGTAATTATGTGTTCTAGTACAACTTTATTCACAAAAACAGCAGGCTAGGCTTGGCCTGTGGGTAGTAGTTTGCTCAACTCCTGATGTAGAAGAAAAAAAAAAAGTGAAACCAACTTGTGAATAGTAAAAACAAAATGACACTTGAAAGAGATCTAGAAAATGTCTTTTATTGTTTTCATTAAAATTAGTTTTTAAAACATATATCCTAATTGTGTGGATTGGTAGCAGCAGTAGTTGGGACTTGAACTGGCACGCTGACATGGGATGCCAGTGTCCCCAGCGCAGTTATAGAAACTTGTAACTTAGAGTGTATGTTCTTATGTAATTAAAACTAGTAAATCTGATAGATTTAATATTTCATCATGAGAAGAGAATCCCTGTAAAACTTAAGACTTTGGTAGAAAGTTGAAGCGGCTTTTGTTTCTATAATTCCTTGAAGTAGATATAATATGTTCAGGTAGTGTTAAATTCTTTATTTTTTTACAATTACTAGTTTCTAGAGTGTGAAACTGATGACTCCATGATACATTAACCATTAAACATAATATTAGAATATTCCATGACAAATTGAGCAGTTTTGAGTAATAAAATGAACTGTTTGATCTATAAAATTTACTGTCCATAAACATCACACTCTCAAATGATTTAATTAACAAATGACTGCAAGGACATTTATTTTTTTATTTCACATAGATAACTTCATTCAGAGGACCAAGCAGCGATATAATAGTCCCAGGTCTCTTTCAACTAAAATAAATCTGTCTGACATGCAGACGGAAATCAAGCTGAGGCCCCCTTATCAGATTTCCATGTGTGAACTGGGGTCAGCCAACGGAGTCACATCTGCATTTTCTGTTGACTGTAAAGGTGCTGGTAAGATTTCTTCTGGTGAGTTCTGGTTCTCAATTATTTCTTTTAAAAAAGCTTTTTGGTAAGAGCTGAGGAACTCTTGAAAATGGATTACTTTAATATTTTAAACTAAGTGCACAAGAGAGTTTAGACAAGCAAACCTTTCCCCAGAGGTTTCTAAAGGAAGCTGCCAGATATGTGACTGATCGGGAAGACATTTTCAAATGGCAGTCTCAGAGGATCTCTGCTAGGACAGCATTTAAGAACGTTGCTTTGTAAACATTTTTCCAGAAATGAAAGATTTTAATATGTATTTATAGGCATGTAAAGTGTTTTGTGTTATTTCTGAATGCTACTTCAAATCCAGGGTTCTTGACTGTCAGAGAAAATGTAAAAACTTTAGCAAATCATCTACTCCAGGCTTTGGGAGCCTCCCAAAGAAATAATACCATCCCCAACAGTTGTGATAGGATGGAAACTTCTGCCTAAAATGGAAACTTCATTATTTCGTAAAGTAGTATGTGCCATTGTTGAACTGCTTTAAAATTTTTTTCTTAAATATTAACCTAAAGTTTACTTTCCTGTAATGCCTCCCAGTTAGTCTAAGTTCTATGAGTCTTCCTTTAGCTGAACCAGAATAGCAGTTAAGTTAGCAATCTGCATCTTTTTCACCTTTTAAGTCTAATATACTTCATATAAAATATCTTCAGTTCCCTTAGCCTTTTCTCTGTGGCATTTTGATGTATGCCTATCCCAGAAGCTTCCTCTAGACATCCTTTATTTAGTTTGTTAGTATTCTTTAATTGTGGACTGACAATACTTCACATTTGATTTGATTAATACAAATGTGGAGAAGGAAGGAACATACTGAACTAAAATAATGCAGCCCATCATTACTCAAGATAACAAGGACAAGAAATAAAATGGCATCTAGATTGCAAAGGAAGAATAAAATAGCTTTTTGCATATAATATAATGTTCTATTTAGAGAAACCTGAGGAATCCACCAAAAAAAAAAAAAAATAGAATAGTCCAGTGAGGTTTCAAGATTCAAGATCAATAAACAGAAATCGATTATATTCTGAACACTAGCAGTGGACAGTCTGAATATGAAATTAAGAAAAGCCTAAACACTGAAAACTACAAAATAACATAGAAACAAATTAAAGAAGACCTAAATTAATGTTCCTGGATTGAAAGACAAATTTTTTAAGATGGCTGTACTCCCCAAATTGATACACAGATTCAGCACAATCTCTATGGAAATCCAGCTTATTTTTTTTTTTTTGTACAAAAATTTATAAGATGATCCTAAAATTCATATGGAGATGCAAGGAACAGAGAATAGCTGGAGTAATCTAGAAAAAGAACAAAATTGGAGGACTCACACTTCCAAACTTGCTAAGTTACAATAAACAAGACTGTGGTTCTGGTGTGTGTGTGTTTTTTTTTTTTTTTTTTTTTTTTGACAGGCAGAGTGGACAGTGAGAGAGAGAGACAGAGAGAAAGGTCTTCCTTTGCCGTTGGTTCACCCTCCAATGGCTGCTGCGGCCGCACTGCAGCCGGCGCACCATGCTGATCCGATGGCAGGAGCCAGGTACTTCTCCTGGTCTCCCATGGGGTGCAGGGCCCAAGGACTTGGGCCATCCTCCACTGCACTCCCTGGCCACAGCAGAGAGCTGGCCTGGAAGAGGGGCAACCGGGACAGAATCCGGTGCCCCGACCGGGACTAGAACCCGGTGTGCCGGCGCCGCAAGGCGGAGGATTAACCTAGTGAGCCGCGGCACCGGCTTGTGGTTCTGGTTTAAGGATAGACATGTAGGTAAAAAAATAGAATTGAAAATACTTGGCCAATCCATTATTAAGTGTGGTGCTAAGAGATGATGTAGGAATAGCCTTTTCAACATGGTTCTTGGACAGCTGTATATCCATGTACAAAAGAATATGGAGTTGAATGCCTATCTCAGGACATATATAAACATGGATCAAAGTCCTGGATTTAACACCTAAACCTGTAAGACTCTTAGAAGAAAACATGGGTGTAAATCTTTGTGATTTTTGTATTTGGTGTTTCAGATTTGACACCAAAAGCACAGTGAAAAAAGAAAAAGTGAATAAAGTGACTTCATCAAAATTAAAAGTTTTTGTGCTTCAAAGGACATCAAGAGTGAAAAGACAACCCACAGAATGGGAGAAAATATTTATACTTTATATACATGGTAAGGGACTGGTATCCAGAATATATAAGTAACTTAAAATTTGACAATAAAAAGACAACCCAATTTAAAAACATGGGGAAAAGATTTGATAGGCATTTCTACAAAATTGTACAACTGACTAATTAGCACATAAAAAGATGTGTAACGTCAGTCATCAGGGGAATGCCAAAGAAAACTACAAGGAGATAACACTTCATACCCACTAGGATGGCTAAAATAAGAAATACAGATAGGAAGAAATTTGATGAGCATGTAAAGAGATTGGAAGCCTCATCCACTGCCGGTGCAGCTGTAAGGTTGTGCAGTGGCTTTGGGGATAGATTGGAAGCTTCTCAAAAACTCAGGCACAGAGTTGCCTTGTAGGCCAGCAATCCTGCTCCTAAGTCTGTGTCCCAAAGAAATGAAAACGTGCATTCTCATGCTTGTCATGTCCACACACACAAACATATGTGCATGTTCACAGCAGCATTATTCAAAGCACCCAAGAAGTGGAAACCACCCAGATATCCCTCAGCTGATGACTGGACAAGTAAAATGTGATGTGTCTATTCATGGAATATTACTAAGCAACGAAAAGGAACCAAGTAATAAAAGATGGTACAGCATGGGTGAATCTGAAAAACATAATGCTAAGTGAAAAAAGCCAGATATAAAAGTCCAAATTTTTATAATTTTATTTATACAACATGTCCAGAATAGACAAATCTAAAGAGAAGTGGGTGAACTGGTTCTTACGAAGGCTGCAGCTCAATTTTGAATCGCAGTGATCCTTAAACCTGGAGCAAGATGATTCCACCGTGCTTAGTGTGCCGGAGATCCTGGTAGGAACAAATAAATATCTTTTTTTTTGGAAGAAGACAGTTCATAAGATTCAAACAATGCCTACAACAAAGATTTTGAAAACAGAACGTGTAGTGAATAGTAACCAGATACCTGGAGAAATTAGACTATGTGAACATAAACTATCAGAAACACATATACTAGGTCTGATAGACACAGTGGAAGCCAGAAGACAATTTAACGATATGGTCTAAAGGATGAAGGCATATAACTGCAAATGTGGAATCGTATGCTAACAAAATAGTGTGAAAGAATGAAGTGAAGTGGCAAGAGTGTATATTCTTGTACCGCTCTTGCTGCTGCTTTTAGCAGAGAGAACAGTTAGTCTTTCACCTGTAAGTACAAGTGTGACGTTTAATGTATGGTTTATGTGGGTGCTTTTATAAAAGGTTGAGAAAACTCCCTTCTATTTCTAGTTTGATGAGAGGTTTGGTAATGAGGAATAAAAGTTGTATTCTGTCAAATGCTTTGAATCTATTGTGTGATTTTCTTTTTAAAGTCTGTCTTGTATCAGATTACACTGATAGCTTTCATATTTATGAATGGGAAGAATGAATAACTTTAAAATGTGCATACTACCCAAAGCAATTTACAGACTCAATGCAGTTCCTACCAAAATCCAAGTGATATTTTTACAGAACTAGAAAAGTCTACTAATATCACTACTGAAAATTTATAGAACCACAAAAAACTTTGAATGGCAAAGGGAACTTGAGAAAAATTAAATAATCGGGAGATATTACACACACTGCCTGGCTTTAAGATACATAACAAAGATACAGTCGTTTTTTAAAATGTTTTTGTTTCTTTGATAACATTTTCAGTTTACAGTATAGTCAAAAGATCAATGCTTCACTAAATAAAAACTTCAACAAATAAAAAGTAAAAAGAGTATTTTCATCAGTAACATAACACTGATAGCTTTTTGAATGTGAAACATTTCTGTGACAAGCTCCACTTGGTCATAATGTATTATCTTTTTTTCTGTGTTGTTGGACCTGATTTGCTAAAATTTTGTTCAGATATTTTACACCTATATTCTTGAGGGAATTCATTTGTAGTTTTTTTTTTTTTTTTTTGGTAATGCCTTTGTCTGGCTTTACTGTATTTTTAAAAAAGATTTATTTATATATTTGAAAGAGTGACAGAGAGGGAATAAGAGAGAGAGAGAGAGAGAGAGAGAGAGAGAGAGAATGAGCGTCCATCCATTGGTTCACTCTGTAAATGGCCGCAATAGCTGTGCCTGGGCTAGGCTGAGCCAGGGGGCAGGAACTCCATCCAGGTATCTGTGTGGGTGGCAGGGTCAGGTAAAGCTAGCCTCAGAGAATCAGTTGGGAGCTATTCCCTCTTCACTTTTTGAGAAATGTTTCTGTAGACTTTTTAATCTTTCAGTGTTTTGTAGAATTCACTGTGAATGTGCTTATGTTGCCCTTGAAAGCTAGCAGGGCGTACTGGTCAGAATCTTTTCTTAGTGGTGTGGGTTGCGAGGAGCATCAACTTGAGCCTCAGTTTTAACATATTGTAGACCTTTGACCATCAGAAACTGAATCGTGCTAGCCTTCTGTAATTTCATAATTTCTTTCCATTCTCTGGCATACGTGTATCTTCCTGGGGCTTGTATCCTAAGGCATATACTACTGTCCATTCAGATAGTACCAGCAGGAGCCCATCAATTATGTGGACCAACATGACATTATATGGGGTGTTAATGTGTTGGATCCCTGTCATCCAGGCGTCAGAAAACATTTTTGTAACATTCCAGATATTGCAGACTGTGTTGCAACTTTGCTGGTCAAATGCATTAAGAAAAAAAAAAAGCCATAAATGATGTGTAAAGAATGAGTGGACTGAATTTGGCCTATGGCACACAGAGTTGATACAGCACAATGGTAATATGGTAAATTTACTGATATGTCACGTAAAAGTAAAGTACTTCTGATTTTCTCTGTTTATTAGGATAAAGAAAAAGTTTAGCCAATTAGTGCCCACATGTCAGAAAACGAATTGATTTTTTTTTTTTGAAATTTTAAAAAATTTAATTGAAATACAGAGAGAGAGAGAGAGAGAGGTCTTTTATCTGCTGGTTCACTCCCCAAATGGCCACAATGGCCGGAGCTGAGCTGATCTGAAGCCAGGAGCCAGGAGCTTCTTCTGGGTTTCCCATGTGGGTGCAGGGGCCCAAGGACTTGGGCCATCTGCTGCTTTCCCAGGCCATAGCAGAGAGCTGGATCGGAAGAGGAGCAGCCAGGACTAGAACAGGCACCCTTATGGGATGCCGGTGCTTCAGGCTGAGGCTTTAACCTGCTGTGCCACAGCGCCGGCCCCCCAGTTGATTTCTTGTATAAAGAGACTGAATCTGAAAAAGCGTGTGTGTTTGGAACCTACAGAAATCTGCTGTTGTCCTCCAAGATACAAAAATTTTGCATACCTAAAGTGCAGAGTTAAATGGGACTATAGTATGGATCATTGCCATGCTTATTTATCTATTTTTATTTAACAGAGTGACAGAGAGGGAAAGAAGAAAGGAGGGGGGTTGGGGAAGGGAGAGACATCGAGATCTTTATATCTTCCATTACTGGTTCACTCCTCAAATGCCCACACTAGTTGAGGCTAGACCAGGCCGAAGACAAGAGCTTGGAACTCCATCCAGGTCTCCCATGTGGGTGACAGAGACCCAAGTACTTGAGCCATTACCTGCTGCCTTCCAGGGTGGTCATTGGCAGGAAGCTGGATTGGAAGTGATACCTGATTTGTCATAACTCTTAGCCTAGTATTCAGACTGTCAATTTGTTTTGACCTCCATTTCCGACTCTGTTTCCCCCTAATCTTCACAAGCATTCCTTTGAGCCTTACGACACCACTAGTAATACCTAGTTAAGAACATCAGTTCTAGAGTCAGTCTGCTTGGATTTAAATCCCAGTTCACTTTATGTCAGCAAGTGATCTTGGCCTCCTCTTCTGAAATTATTCCCCTCCCTTCCCATCACACACAGGGTAAATGTAGTGCCTACCTTGTTGGGTTGATGGAAGGATGGAATGAGGTTGTATGGGTAAAGCACTTGGTGCCTGGCTCACTGGGAGTAGCCACTCTTAGCAGGAGTAGAGGTAGGAGCAGTGGTTGTTCCTGCTGTTACTTGGTCCTTCCGTTTCCATCTTTATGCTCGTGTTCCTTTCTCTGAGCAGAATGCTCTTCTTCCTGTTTTATGCCAGATCACATTCGATCCATCTTCAAACATCTTCCCTGAATCTTGTTTGCACCTTCCCCCAGCTGTATTTCCTCTTTTGCATTCCCTAGCTTTTAGCTTAGGATGCTGTTACTGTCATATGCTTATCTGTCTGTCCATCTCCTTTTAAAAAGTTAGGAGTACCTTGAAGGCAGATTTGTATTTTCTAAAATATATAATCCTAAACAGAATAATGCCAAAAGGTATTTGTTGAATGAATGTATTAAATCACTCTAACCTACATCCCTTTGATTCCAAATGATTCATTTTTACTTCTTTCATATTTTTTTAAAGATTTGTTTATTTATTTGAAAGGCAGAGTTACAGAGAGGCAGAGGCAGAGAGAGAGTGAGGTCTTCTACCTGCTGGTTCACTCCCAAAATGGCCACAATGGCTGGAACTGGGCCAATCTGAAGCCAGGAGCCAGAAGCTTCTTCTGGGTCTCCCATGTGGGTGCAGAGGCCCCAAGGCTTGGGCCATCTTCTGCTTTCCGAGGCCATAGCAGAGAACAGCTGGGACTCGAACCGGCTCCCATAGGGGTTCCCTTCCCTGCAGGCGACGGCTTTACCCAGTATACCACAACGTCAGCCCCTCTTTCAGAATTTTTTGCAAACTCTATAAATCATTGGTACATTTTGAGAAAATTTTTATTATGGACACACCATTATTGAGTTCAAAGACACTAATTTTAAAAAGGCATCGAAGCAGAAAATAATAACAAAAACAACAAAACAAAAACTGTCCAGGTGGCATTGCATTGGATTCAGCAAAATTACTTTTTGCTGTGCTGCTTTTGATTTGTTTTTGTCCCAGAGGCAGTCTGCACCTAAAAGTGCCTAGCATAGTGCCAGCTTGAAGTGTGCAGTGATCATTGTGCATAACAATGGATCTAAAGTCCAGTAAGTTGCTAGTTCAGTTTGTTAGAGTGGGAAATGGCCCTTAAGGAGGGTCACCTGTCATGTTCTGGGCAGATGGAGTTTTTTTGATAACCATTCTCTAAATGCAAGCCACAGGGAAGGGAGTGGGTGCAGGGGTGGGGGCAGTAAGGAAATCCGGACTTTAGGATGTCTTTCCCACCGTGATGCCATGTAGCGCCAGCCTGTCATCAGCACACTGCACACCTTGTCCTTGTGAAAGGAGGTTTATTATTTTCTTTTCTGCTTTCAGAAATATTTGTGATCCTTTAGAAATAATTTCTAAATTGTATACCATCATAAAGATGACACTCTAAGGCTAAAAGTCAAGTGTTGGCCAGCGCCACGGCTCACTAGGCTAATCCTCTGCCTGTGGTGCCGGGTTCTAGTCCTGGTTGGGGCGCTGTCCCCGGATTCTGTCCCCGTTGCTCCTCTTCCAGTCCAGCTCTCTGCTGTGGCCCGGGAAGGCAGTGGAGGATGGCCCAAGTGCTTGGGCCCTGCACCTGCCTGGGAGACCAGGAGGAAGCACCTGGCTCCTGGCTTCAGATCGGCGCAGCGCGCCGGCCGTAGTGGCCATTTGGGGGGTGAACCAACAGAAGGAAGACCTTTCTGTCTCTCTTGCTAACTCTGCCTGTCAAAAAAAAAAAAAAAAAAAAAAAAAGTCAAGTGTTAGAAACTCAGTATTTAACTTATATGGACTTATTCGTTTCTTAATTAGATGCTCAGCAACACATGAACATGGTAATATTTTTCATTTCAAGAAGGGCCACATTGTACTTAACTCTAAAATGCTAAGATGTTTTAATTGTAGTACAGAATATTAATTTGCTTTTGCTTAGTGGCGCGAACTTGTTTCCCGCACGTCAGAGGTGTGATTTACATAGCTGTTCAGCTGCCCCATGGTTTTAGCCTTGAGGCCCATATTAAAGATTCCCTTTTTCATTACAGGGCCTTTCACTGCTGTTGCTCACTGCTGAGAAGAGGTGGGGAGGGAGGGAGAGAAGTTGCAAAACATGACTAATCGGCAGATCAATTCAGTAGATTTTTAAACTGAACTGTTTTCTCTACTGATATAAAACTTGGTATCAGTACTTTATAAGGACATTTGATTTTCCTTTTTCATGTTAAGATCTAAAGAAAAGTGATTGAGAGACCAGATATTCAGCTTGGCAAGGAAAGAATTTTAAGGAAATGTTATCTCATATTAACATTTTCTGCTAACTTGAGGAATGAATACTTTTTTGTGATGTGGGGTTTTGTGTGTTATATACTGTTTAGGGAGGCTTTTCTGCTGTAATGGCTGAATATAATTTGCAAAGATTTAAGCCTCTTCTTATATTAATGTTCCACCTCATTAATTCCATTGTTAGGGCTTTTACACTTCAGTGACTTAAATAAAATAATCAAAGTATGGTTCTCTTGTCCTGTTTTTCTCTCTGTCTCCTCTTTGAGGGCTAGATGATTTCATTTTCTGTTTTGTGTTTTTATTTGGACTCCATTGTTAATTCTGTTAAGCCCAAGAGGATGATGAAAGCAGCTTTGTGTAACTGAATGTCTTATGCTGCTAAAACCCTGAAAGACAAGGCACTGTATCGGCAGAGGTGAGGTGGTCACTTCTTCCACTGCCATTTCAGTGTATTCGGAGGGACTTCATAGCTGTGAGATTCCATTCTGTGTGCAGCTCAGTTTGGTGACTGTATATGAGTTTTCACATACAACTGTAGCCGGTAGTATTTATAGCACTGAAACCCAGATAAGGGGAAGCATTGCTTAAAAGCAAGCTATGTTTATCCTTAAAAAGTGTTTTCTAAGCATTTCCAGACAAAGTAGGAATTATACAATGAATTTCCAAGCAGTCACCTTTGCAAACATGTGTATATACTTGCAAATAGTAGACATATTTAGGCAGAAAGGATTTTCTAAATTTTTTTAAAATTAATTTATTTGAAAGGCAGTGTTACAGAGAGAGGGAGAGAGTCAGAGAGAGATCTTCCATCCACTGGCTCACTCCCCAAATGGCCACAACAGCCAAGATTGGACTGGGCTGAAACCCAGGAGCCAGAGCCCTACATGAATGGCAGGGTCCTATCCCCCAAGTATTTGAGCCATCGTCCTCTGCTTTCCCAGGTGCATTATCAGGGAGCTGGATTGGAAACAGAACAGCTGGCACTCATAAGGGATACTGGTATCACAGGCCACAGCCCAACCCTTTACCCCACAAAACCAGACTCTTTCTAAATGTTTTATTGCCAGATGTGAGCACTTCTTAGTGCTATCTATCCCAAGTACAAGTTAGGCGTCTTTGTTAAAAATATAGAGGAAAAAAAGGTTAATTTGATTTGAATTCAGGAGAATGAAGCTTTTATATTGTCAAATATTTTGCACTTTAAAAGAATATTTAATTTCTAAAATAAATAATTTTATGAAAAATAATTTATAACATTTAAATTGAGCATTGCATTTCTGTTTTACATTATGTTCAGCTACATGAGCTATTGCTATTCATTTCTAACTATTTCTTTTATTTTCCAGCTCACCAGCGACTGGAACCAGCCACTCTGTCAGGGATTGTGGCATTTATCCTTAGTCTTTTATGTGGAGCTCTGAATTTAATTCGAGGCTTTCATGCTATAGAAAGTCTCCTACAGGTACTGTGCTATTTTTGCGTTTTCAAATGACTGTTTCTATTCATTCTGCTTGTTACATAATTGATTCACAAGTGGATTAGGTATTAGTACAACTTAGAATGCATGCTCCAAATCTGTGTTCCTCTGCCTACTCTAGCCTCCCCTCCTCTATAGACAGATGTCTGGGTAGCTCCTTTGACTCCATCAGCATGTGTTTATCATCTACTCTTTGGGTGGCACTGTTGATAGGCACTCTACAGACATCAAGATGTGTGTGACATGATGATTTCATTTGGTGAAAGCAACTTCCCAGCTTCAAGTTGCCTCCTCCAAGGGAGGCAAAGAAAGCCATGAGTGATTGCCAAGTGCACAGAGTTGGGAAGGTTAGAAGGCTTTTTGAGGAGAGGTGAGCTGGGCCTGGAGGGATCTCAGGAGATAGCAGTGGGAGCACAGGGAGACTTGCATGGGCAGTGTTTTGTCCTACTTCTGTGTATTCCTTCTTAGCTATCTGCTGCTTTGCCTTTTTGGCTGATCTGTTAACACCTGAGCTACCTGGGAAAGCAGATTTTTTTCAGATTTTGCCACTGATTTCATTTCCTAGTGGAGTTTCATCAGAGACTGTAGCTATCAGAATATATCAACTCTTTATCTTATGCTTGTTGTAAACTTTCTGAAACTTCCTTAAAGTCTGGCTCATTGAGAATGCACAGGGTTCCTTCCCTGTTTCTACTTACTTTCTCCAGAGAGTTCTTGAAACTTCCGCGTTGTGAATTCATTCTCTTTCTCTTGCCAGCAGTAGGCTCAGAGTACTATTTGTAAAGACCCATTCTGTAGGCTGTAGCCTGTGTTGAAAGTGCTGTTAGTGTGAATACTCTGAGAGGGTCTTTCTGTGTACCCTCTGATTGTACTCAGCCCCCTAAAGCCAGCAGCAGGTGTTATCACGGTTTCTGGCAGCAGAGCTGTCCCAAGAGGGCAGTTGGGTAGGGCTTCCGGTGACTTCCCAGTTCCTCTTACAAACACCCTGTACCCACAGCTGAAGGCCCTCTCCCTTTTCATGCACAGGCACAGTCTGTCCCTTTGCCTTCCTGTCCCCTCCCCCAGCCAGGCTGGATTTTTTCCAGCAGAAGGAGTTCAATTTTGAACCAACTGGACAAGCTGCCAACAAAAAGAAACAAAGGTATTTGGAAACTACTGATTGAGGAAGCTAATAAATAAGCTACTCTTTGCCTTTAAAAAATTTTTGTTTCTTACTTGAAATAGTGGAAAGATCAGTAATGTAGGTGTGTGAAGAGTTGGATTTTTGCCGGGGCTGGTGCAGGAAGGTGGGGGGAGAACAGGAGGAAGGCAGGCCTAGGTTCAGAAAAGCTTCCATCCCAAGGAGCCTCAGCGTCCAAGACTTTTTTTTTTTAAAGATTCTATTTTATTTACTTGAGAGGTAGAATTACAGACAGAGGGAGAGGCAGAGGGAAAGGTCTTCCATCTGCTGGTTCATTCCCCAAATGGCCATGATGGCTGGAGCGGGGCTGATCTGAAGCCAGGAGCCAGGAGCTTCTTCCAGGTCTCCCTCATGGGTGTTCTTCCAGGTCTCCCTCATGGGTGCAGGTGCCCATGCACTTGGGCCATCTTCCACTGCTTTCCTAGGGCACAGCAGAGAGCTGGATTGGAAGAGGAGCAGCCAGGACTTGAACTGGTACCCATATGGTATGCCGGCGCTGCAGGCAGAGGCTTAGCCCACTATGCCAGAGCAACAGCCCCTCATCCCCGTCTCTTTAAGACAGCATATAAGTCATGGTCCTGGGGCTTAACCCACAGTAAATTAACATTTAAACAAAACTCTTGTAGCTCACAAAACCTGTTAAAGGGAACAGTAATTTCTTTCTCTCTTTTTTTTTTTAAAGACTTTATTTATTTATTTGAGAGGTAGAGTTACAAAGAGAGAGAGAAAGAGAGAGAGAGAGAGAGAGAGAGAGAGAAAGGTCTTCCATCTGTCGGTTCTCTCCCCAAATGGCGATAATGGCCAGAGCTGGACCAATCTGAAGTTAGGAGCTAGGATCTTCATCCAGGTCTCCCACATGAGTGGTAGGGGCCCAAGCACTGGGCCATCTGCTACTGCTTTCCCAGGCTATTAGCAGGGAGAGAAGCAGCCAGTACAGGAACTGGGACCTATATGGGATACCGGCAATGTAGACTGACAGCCTACTACACCAGAGCCCTGCCCAGGAATAGTGATTTCTTTCTGGCACCCATATATCCTCTGCCATCCTCTTGGGCTGATTCCTTCCTTCCTCCTCCTCTGATTCATTCATAACCTAAAAACTATGAAGACTTGTGAAACTGTTGCTTTTCATTACTGTAAGGAAATACCTGAGACAGGCTAACTTTATGAAGGAAAGACTCCTGGTTCTAGAGGATCACAGCTGAATGTCAAACAGGTGCCATTGGTTCTGGCCTCTGATGGTGCTGTTCTTGCTGACAACTACAGGTAGCAAAAGTATTATACAGCAAGATACAATTGAATTCAGTTTCTACTCTCCTAGTCCCATTAACTTAAGACTTTGGAGTTTAAATTCCTGTAGGTGTTTGAGAACCAAATTATATTCAAACCATTTCAAACAATTAAATTGCCATGTGTGATGCCTGCATCCCCTATGTGAGTGTTGGTTGACTGTCAGTTACTTTGCTTCAGATCCAGTTTCTTGCTAATGTACCTGGAAGGCAGCAAATGATGGCTGGGGTCCTTGGGCCCCTGGAAGCCCCAGATGGAGTTCAGGATCAGCCCAACCCCAACCTTTGTGGCCATTTGAGGAGTGAAGCAGTTCCTGTTCCTTCCTGTTCCTATCTCTGTTCCTTCCTCTCTCTCTCTCTCTCTCTCTCTAACTTTGCCTTTTATATAAATAAGTCTTTTAAAAATGTAACATTAAGGGGCCGGTACCATGGCACAATAGGTTAATCCTCTGCCTGCGGTGCCGGCATCCCCTATAGGCGCCAGTTCTAGTCCTGGCTTCTCCTCTTCCAATCCAGCTCTCTGCTATGGCCTAGGAAAGCAGTAGAAGATGGCCCAAGTCCTTGGGCCCCTGCACCGGCATGGGAGACCTGGAAGAGGCTCCTGGCTCCTGGCTTCAGATTGGTGCAGCTCTGGCTGTTGCAGCCATCTGGGGAGTGAACCAGCATGTCGAAGATCTTTCCCTCTGCCTCTCTCTGCCTGTAATTCTACCTCTCAAGTAAATAAAATAAAATCTTAAAAAAATTTAATATTAAAACAATACTTTTATATTACCACCAAAGAAAGAGATACTCAAGAATAAAGCTAACAAAATATATACTCATGTAATATCCATCAGTATATGATGAAAATGATGACTAAAGAAATCAAAGAAGACCTAAATACATTTCATGTTCATGGATCAGAAGGCTCATTATTGGTAAGGTGTCAGTTCTTCCCGACTTGATCTACAGGTTCAACACAATCCCAGTCTCAGTTCCTGCATATTGTTTTGTGGATGTTGACAAAATGATTCTAAAGTTTCTACGGAAAGGCAGAAGGCCCGGTATGTAGGGAAAAACTAACTTTTCTTCTGATTTCTCACAACTCCCAATTACCTCCAAAGCTTTGCTGCTGGTTCCAGATGTGTGGAGGCTTTCCCCCACCAAGCAGTTCTGTAACACCAGCTGAGTGTCCTGTAATCCAATTCAGTTCTCACCCTGGCTGCCTGGAATGAGCACAGACCTCTCAGTGTAAGGACTGAGTGCCGCAGTACTGCCCTGCAGGTGCCGGTCACAGGCCAGGTGTGAACAGGTCTCACAGCCCCCTCCTCCATGTGCTAGAATGGGTCACAGAACCCCAGGAAACAGGTTTACTCTAAGGGATATTAGGGAGGATACAGATGAATGGGCAGATGAGCCGTTTCTAGGGTGAGATCTGGAAGGGGCCTGGGAACAGGAGCTTCCGTTCCCATGGAGTCAGAGCTCAGCGCCCTCTCCACGTGTGGACATGTTCACTCAGCTGGACGTGTACAGAGTTAGGAACTCACTCTCCAGCTCCTCCCTTCTCCTTAGAGGATGGGGTGGGACTGAAAGTCCCAAGCTTCTAGTCATGACTTGAACTTTGCTGTAACCAGCCCATCCAGGAGCCTAGTGTTACCTCAAAACAGAGGTTGTATCTGTCACCCAGGAAATTCAGTGCCTACCACTCAGGAAATCAGTAAGGCCTAAAGAGCTGTGTCAGAACTGGATCAAAGACCAAACACTAGAATAAAAGATTCTTCTAGCATCTATATTTACAAAGGTTTTAGGAGCTCTGTGTCAAGAACTAAGAACGTATTTTCTGTTTATGTATATGTGTGTGTGTGTGTGTGTATATATATATATATATTAGAGATTTATTTATTTATTTGAAGGAGCTACAGATAGGCAAAGGCAGAGAGAGAGAAAGAGGTCCTCTTGTAGCTCACAAAACCTGTTAAAGGGAACAGTAATTTCTTTTTTTAACAAATTTTTATTTATTTGAGAGGTAGAGTTACAGAGAGAGGGAGAGACAGAGAAAAAGGTCTTCCATATGCTGATTTACTCCCCAAATGGCTGCAATGACTGGAGCTGTGCCGATCCAAAGCCAGGAGCCTGGAGCTTTCTCCAGGTCTCCTACACGGGTGCAGGGCCCCAAGGATCTGGGTCATCTTCCATTGCTTTCCCAGGCCATAGCAGGGAGCTGGACTAGAAGAGGGACAGCTGGGACTAGAACCAGTGCCCATATGTGATGCTGGTGCTGCAGGTGGAGGATTAACCTGCTCCATGGTGCGGCCCCTGTGTTAAGTCTGGAAGCCAGTACTCTGAGTCCTTTCTTGTCTTTATTCAGTATTGTGTTTGCCATGCCTGGTGTGAAATTATAAGAAGTATATACAAGGGCTGGCAAATTATTAGCAAAAGAATAGACAAATGAGATAAATGGAATAGACCAGAAATATATATACTTATAGTCAGCCCATCTTTGGCAAAGGAGCACACATAACACAATAGAGAAAGGA